CCCCTCGGCGGTATTTACGGCGCACGCGCGCTCCGCGGCCGTATTGACGGCCAGAAAGCGACAGGCAAAACTGGACTCCCAATTTAATAGCAGATTCCAGAGTTTGCGACCACAGTCCGAGACCGTAAAAAGGAAGCTGAAAAATTCCCCAGCGATATCGGAACAACCGTTATAAACAGGACAGGGTATAAATGTGCAAGTTGAGAATTACAACCAAAGTTTCTTACTTGTGTTTTTAGGCAGTGATTAAACTCTACCAGAAACCAAGGCATTGACACTAGGTATTTGTCAGTTGGGCACATTCAAGCATCAAGTGAGATCTAGATGAGAGGTGCACTGAAAAGCAGCAGTTCACAGAAACAGGAGTCTCTAGTTCAGTACCAGCAGGAGGCAAGTTGTTACCTGTTACCCATCAGCAACAGCTGTAGCACAGTTAGTAAAATCGACACTCCTTTTAAAATTGCAGTCCTTGACCCTCTGTAGAGACTTGGGATGTTATGCAGTATTAGTCTTGCTCGTTCAATACAAAAATATTAATTTACATAGAGGTCATGCCCTTCAAGGTACCACAGAGCGTGAACAGAGATGATAACTTGAAGAAAAAAAAAAAAAAGCTGCTGTGAGGCCCCAGAACACTTCAGTCATCAAGCATGTACAAGCCCTTCACAGAAGCTCTCAAGTTTGGGTGGTTTTAGTCTAACATAGCGGACATAGAAATATTTAAGTAGGAGATCTATACTTACCTGGGATTATTTCTGCTGAAATAAACTTAAGAACTACTTAAAGTTGCAAAAATAAAGATAAAAGCCAGCAACCCAGAATACTTTTCTGATAGCAGCACAGCAAGGGCAGTATAAAATGCGAAACGCTGGTCAAATTGGTCAAACTGGTAAACCAAAGCTTTATTTTTTTTGTTTAAAGTCTTTGCTACAGTACCTAGGACTGCGCCACTATACATAATTAACAATCATTCCTGAAAGATCTGTATTTGGCACCAGTTTGTGTTTACCTCAAACACTTGTTGGGAAGATTAATTTCAAATCAAATTTGGTTTTTCAACAGAATAGGAGCTGCCATCATGAAGCCAATTAGCTGAGTTATTGGAGAAGCTAAAAAACAAAACAAAACAACAAAAAAACCCCAAAAAACCACAATAAAAAAACAAAACAAAACAAAAAAAACCCCAAAACAAAAAAACAGAATCCTTATCTAAACCAACACATTACAGAAAGCTCCAAAACAGAGGTCGGTCAAACATTAAAAGGCTGATATAGGCTCAAGTGGTTTATAAAACCTATAAAAAAAGACTACACCAGCAAATATGCCCTTTCAGTCCGCACAGTTTAGAAGTTAATGCAGGGAGCAACACTCGCTAGCTGGAAATCTTGTCATGGGAGAACCACACACATACCAACGGGAGTACCCAAAAATCAAATGTTTAAAAAAGCTCCAATTCCCAATCCACATCAGAGGAGAGAGATTCATAGGAAGATTGAATCAATCCATGAAAACATAATTGGTTGGGCAGTTCAAACTTCCCCCACCAACCGCTAAGTCTCACGTACATACAGCACATGTGCATGGCTCAATCCCATTCCAATTCCTCGTGGAA